GTCCATTTTCTTCAAAACTGTGTTGAGCCACCTTGATGTCAATGTCCAAAAAATTGTTATGAATGCGAATGTTGCGTCGTTCTTTAGAAACCTTATCATGATTTTACATGCCAAACAACCTTAGTACATGAATTATAACAACAAACTGAATTATTATAATATATATTCCAATGAAGCTCAGAACACGAATGATTTTAAATACATGATGTTGCGTCGTTCTTTAGAAACCTTATCATAATATTACATGCCAAACAACCTTAGTACATGAATTATAACATCAAACTGAATTATTATAATTGCCATTCAAGCTCAGAACACGAATGATTTTAAATACATGATGTTCCTTCGTTCTTTAGAAACATCATAATTTTACATGCCAAACAACCTAAATTAGTACATGAATTATAACATCAAACTGAATTATTACAATATATGCCAATCAAGCTCAGAACACGAATGATTTTAAATACATGATGTTCCTTCGTTCTTTAGAAACCTTATCATAATTTTACATGGCAAACAACCTTAGTACATGAATTATAACATCAAACTGAATTATTATAATATATGCCAATCAAGCTCAGAACACGAATGATTTTAAATAAATGATGTTGCGTCGTTCTTTAGAAACCTTATCATGATATTACATGCCAAACAACCTTAGTACATGAATTATAACGTACATCAAACTGAATTATTATAATATATGCCAATCAAGCTCAGAACACGAATGATTTTAAATACATGATGTTGCGTCGTTCTTTACAAACCTTATCATGATATTACATGCCAAACAACCTTAGTACATGAATTATAACATCAAACTGAATTATTATATTAATATATGCCGATCAAGCTCAGAACACGAATGATTTTAAATACATCATGTTGCGTCGTTCTTTAGAAAACTTATCATGATTTTACATGCCAAACAACATTAGTACATGAATTATAACATCAAACTGAATTATTATAATATATGCCAATCAACCTCAGAACACGAATGATTTTAAATACATGATGTTGCGTCGTTCTTTAGAAACCTTATCATGATATTACATGCCAAACAACCTTAGTACACGAATTATAACATCAAACTGAATTATTATAATATATGCCAATCAAGCTCAGAACACGAATGATTTTAAATACACGATGTTCCGTCGTTCTTTAGAAACCTTATCATGATATTACATGCCAAACAACCTTAGTACATGAATTATAACATCAAACTGAATTATTATAATATATATTCCAATCAAGCTCAGAACACGAATGATTTTAAATACATGATGTTCCGTCGTTCTTTAGAAACCTTATCATGATTTTACATGCCAAACAACCTTAGTACATGAATTATCGGCATCAAACTGAATCATTACCATACATGCCAATCAAGCTCAGAACACGAAAGGTATTAAATCATAATTTTACATGCCGAACAAGCTTAGCTTTACTGCCTAATTATATAATAACTACAGTGAAACACGCAATTTGATTGGTTGATAGCCGTGCAGGATCAGGCTATCCTGCACGAGGAATTAAAATGCCTTCGCGGGATTTTCGCGGGATTCACAAAATTTCATTGTTTCACTGTAGTTATTTTATAAAACAATTACCAAATGGTTTTCCAAGCAGGATAGCGTGATCCATGCACTTGGGATGTTGCTCGACTTTCGGAAAGCGTAAAAATACACTCGCCTGCGGCTCGAGTATTTTTACGCTTTCCGAAAGTCTAGCGTCATCCCTCGTGCATGGATCACGCAATCCTGCATGCACGGAAAACCATTCGCTATTCCTTTAATAGTACATGAATTATAACATGAAACTGAATTTTTATAAGAAAATATGGAGATAGCGTAGCTAGGTTTACACATAATTAAAAGTAAACGTTGTCTGACTAAGATTTTTATTTAAACGACCTTTCGTGACTACCTAACTGTAGTCTTGGGCGGGTAAAGCGGAATGAATTAATTACAAGCGTGCATGTGTCAGGTGATATGATAACAATAAGTGATTGGTGTGATAATTATAGCGTCTAGCCATGGTTTAGGAAGCGACTTACAATTATTTTCATAATTTATTATTATAGCAGTATGCCAAGATTCTAGTAATGTTTTACGTGTCCGATACTTGCCACTATCAATTACTTTCCCATTATGAAAATCAATTATAAGTAATTACACGATCCATATATTCATTTGTTATACGTACAGTAGAGAGCATGAGATACTGAAAAATACACAGTGACATAATATATTTTCCATATCTTCACTAGTGAAGGTTTCGATCACGTGACTTTTGTATTTATGCAATTTCTTGTTTGATCATGAGACTATATAATCAACAAGGGCCGGTTGTATAAAACTCCTGATCGCTTTTTTAATCACTATTTTGTAGTTAAATAGTGATTAACTCTCAAATACCGCGCTTCTTATTGGATGACGTTTCCACTAACTATAGTTAACTTTAATCACTTTTTTATTCAACCGGCCTCAGAAGTTACTGTCATTACACGGTAGCTTGAAGATATGACTTTTATCTTCTCGTGTTAAAAACGGTATTTTACTCACTCGCTGCGCTGGTTTGTAAAATATTGTTTTCATCACTCCAAGGCAAAAGTTATATCTTCACGCCGCCGTGTAATATCCTCTATATATATGATCAAATTATATTATTATATTATGATATTATCCATGATATTAGCTATATTTCAGCCTTATGATATTAGCTATATTTGAGCCTTTGATATTATGATATTAGCTATATTTGAGCCTTTTTTATAGTTTTTTACATTTGGAATATGTTCCTTTTTTCGAGTTACAAATGATCTTCCGGTTTCGTCAACATATGAGCAAGAGCAGTCAGAGCAAGGTACATTGTGTGAAAGGCCCTGTTTAAAGTTAGTGCATTCAAGCTCTTATATTTGTATATTTCACTCCTACGATACTGTTATTTATTGTTTGCAGTGTGCATTTGATCCGTCAATTTTACTATACTCACTTAAAATATTTCAATGCTCATAATCGTTTTGCCGTGATTCATTTGAAGTTGGCATATACGTCATAACTGGTGGTGTTACATCCTCGGCAAACGTTTTCCCTCACACCTAACAGGCTAACTAAATTTCCGGCCTTGTGATCTGAAACAATTGCAACGCCAATTTTGATTGACATATGTTCTTGAATTACACAGTATAAAACATGCTAAAAATCCATTCTTGTCATTCCCTTACCGAGAATTGTCGACAAACACCACAATAAAACTTTTATCCAAATTACGCTAGAAACTATGGCTTGGCATAGCGATGAAGCTGTTGAGAACAATCTCAAAAAATGCTATGAAGTTGATATTGATTGGGATTTAGTCCCAAAAAAGCTGCAAGATGTAAGTATTCATTGTTTTCTAACAATACCTACGCAGCACAGTGGTTATGTGTTTGTTTGATATTCTCCTCAGCTCTAACTATTGTTTAAACATCCTTTTTTCCTTTATTACAACAGCTTTGTGAATTCTGGGGCAAAACCATGAAGCAACGCAAAACTACTGTTTTACTTGGCATCTTGTCTCTTGTTTCTCTCATGCTGGGGCACGCATCACTTCATGTGAAAGATGGTTGGGAAGAACCTATTAACCAACCCTATAACATCGTGCCAGAGCCTACTGCCCAGCCTCTTTACTTTGCCACCGCGTAGCTTTCAAATGACGTCATTTCGCCATCGGTAAAATTTCTGTCCGACCGTAAACAAGCTTGTCCGATGGATCCGATCGATCGATCGGACCATCTGACATTTGCCACTAACATCGTGCCAGAGCCTATTGCCCAGCCTCTTTACTTTGCCACCGCGTAGCTTTCAAATGACGTCATTTCGCCATCGGTAAAATTTCTGTCCGACGGTAAACACGCTTGTCCGATGGATCCGATCGATCGATCGGAAAACCTGACATTTGCCACTAGCATCGTGCCAGAGCCTACTGCCCAGCCTCTTTACTTTGCCACCGCGTAGCTTTCAAATGACGTCATTTCGCCATCGGTAAATTTTCTGTCCGACCGTAAACACCCTTGTCCGATGGATCCGATCGATCGATCGGACCACCTGACATTTGCCACAAACATCGTGCCAGAGCCTACTGCCCAGCCTCTTTACTTTGCCACCGCGTAGCTTTCAAATGACGTCATTTCGCCATCGGTAAATTTTCTGTCCGACCGTAAACAAGCTTGTCCGATGGATCCGATCGATCGATCGGACCATCTGACATTTGCCACTAATATAGCATCGTTTAAAACATGGACACTTAGAGAAAAAAACATTGGAAAAGTATAACGGTCCGACTTATTTGTCATGCGTGACTGTTCCAATAGTTCTTATATTTATGTTATGAATTAATATCACGTTATGCTCTATTTGTCTACGTGTATTTCTCCATCGGACAAGCTTTTTTCCGACGGTAGACATTTTTGTCCATCGGATCAATCGGTAGCACATGTATGATGGATTTCTCCATCGGACTCCGATCGTGGGTATTGGACATCAATCCTGAAGCCGGGCATTTCTTTGTGGGTCTGGGGGCATGTGGTTGCCCTCTCGATTTTTAAAATTTTTGTGTCTTTGAAAAATGGCATTTCCAGCATTTTGGGAGTAATTTTGAGCAAATGTAGTTATAAACATGTTTTTAATGGCATGCTAACAACATTGAATTTCTATAACTATTTTTTTGCTGACCCAAATGGGAAAATTGCGACCGCAAGGTAATTGGGAAAACCGTGTTTAATGCGGAATTTTTGACTGTAGCTAACACCCTGATAGGTCTTTCATATGAGCACTATGTACAAGTGTATAAATATACACTTGTATGTAGTACTCATATGAAAGACCTAAATACTGGACAGCTGTAATCAATGAAGTTAATTTTCAAATTATTTGAAAGATGATTTCTTTCTTCTTTTAGCCCCAGTAACACCAAGTATTGAAGACTTAATGAAGAAATCCCTCACACTGGACAATCAATCTCCAAGCTCTGGCAAGAGATTCGAGAAACCCAAAATAACAAAAACAATCAAAGCCCAGCCGAGTCACTTTGCCGAGTCAGTAAAAGCTAGTAAATTTGAAAACATAGACTCACTCTCAGAAATGTTCACTATCCCGCAAGCTGCTTTAGCACAACCTGTGGAGCGCAGTGTACCAATAAGCCATGTGACTGCGAACAGCAGCGATGATTGGTCAGATTTTAGTAGTGCTACAGAAACTGTTTTTCAAGAGCAGAATCCATCAACAGGACATGCCCCTCCAAGTCCAGGACAGAGGCTTTCTTTTTCATCCATTCAGAATCCGTCATCAGGACAAAGAGACCCAATGTCCAGTCTAGGGCTTCCAACTTCAGAATCAACAACATTCAATTGGGAATCCGGGAATGAGGGTCATTTTAATACATTGCAAGAGCCTAGGGGTGAAATGGGTACTATATTTTCACAATCTGTTAGTAAAGCACAGACTGGAACTATGTGGATACCCCATGTTCCAAGTGGACCAGATGGGATGTTGGTTGGTGTGAATACACCTGTGTCACAGGGGAACTCTGGACAAGGGATTCTCAGCAGAAGTGACTTTGGGGATTTTCAATCTGACGTTCCAAGGAATGATGCCTTGTCTGCAGCTGTCCAAGTTCAAGGTTGGGAACATTTAGTCACATGTGAGAACAGTGCTATTAGTTTGACTCTACCAAGCACTGCAAGTTTACTTCTAGTTGGTACTCCAGTTAAGTTTCCTCCTTTTGTAACACAGAACCAATAAGGCCCATATGGGTATTACTGTGCCTTTAGTATAAAGTTAGTTTAGAGTACAGTAGGTTTCCTCCTGTAATTATGCTGGATCAATAAGGCAATAAGTTGTTTGGCATTTACTGGACCTCTGGGGAGAACAGTTTACTGTACATGTACAAGTGATAAAGCTATCCAAATTAATATAAATAAAATTAGATTATTTAACCCATTAAGCTGCAGAGCTTCCCCAGTGACAAGTAAAATCGTATGGCGTTAGACAAGTAAAAGAAATAAGTAAGGCGCACTGGGGAGCATTGCGGCTCAATAGGTTAAATTTGATTATAGATAGTTTATTTTAGGTTTAACTAAGGTTTCTCATTATTTTATTTTAGTTTCTTCTGAGGTTAGCCAAGAAACTCCTGTAGTTGATCCAGAACATGCTATCTATGGAGTTTCCCTTCCTGACTGGAGTAAAAACACAAACATGTTGCCTGCTGTCTATAAACAGATCCACAAAATGTGTTCCTCGCCACCTAATGACACCATAAGTACTAGCCAATTATATCCCATCTTGCTGTCATCTGATCTACCACGTGATAAACTGGGCTATATATGGTCAAAGTGCAACAAAGCTGTCCCAGGGGAATTAAATGAACAGGAACTGTATCTTATTCTTGGTATGGTTGCTTTGGCTCAGGTAAGATTTCATAAGATTGCATAAAGAATTGTCATAGGTGGCACAGTGGGGAGTAATGTGTTTTTCATCTTTCATTGATCAAGTTTCATCACAGTTATCTATTAACTGTGGTTTCATCAATTTCTAAAATACTCCACATGTATAATTTATTCACCTTTTTTGCATGTGGGATGAGGCTTGCAGTTTTTAACTGGGGCCCTGCTTGCCCCCCCCCCCCCCTCTGGATGGCCCTGCAGTTATCAGAAGGTTACGTGGTTCAATTCCCATTAGGGTTTAGAACTTTTCTGAGTATAGACTTGATACACATTCACCCCAAAATCACAAATAAAGTTAGTTTAGTTAAATAGATATTTAATTTGAAGCTTTCGTGTATTTCACATTTCCAGGTTGGTTTACAAGTTAATAAACTTACATTGGAGA